CTAACAAGGTTTGTGCAGGAGTGGGTGGTGATGGGGACCAATTTGATTATTTCAACAATTTCAGATTTGGTTCCATCACTATCTGTCTTTTTCTAAATTTTTGTAAAAATCCATAAGAAAATAATTGTAATAGTGAAAAAAGGACAATATCAATGGTACCTAGACAAGTATACAATTATATGTGTTTTAAATGGGGCGTGAAAGGTGTCTCGTGAATAAAAAATCACTTAGTGACAAAAATAAAAACATTCAATAATGAAAAGGACAATCAAAATTTGGTTGATAGATGTGATGAGCAAACTCATCCACGATGTGAAAGAACCTAATAAATATAAAAATATATCCAAATTATTATTATTTCATGATAATGATTTGTTTATCACATTTATTATTATCATGTGGGAGCATTTCCGCAAATACAAAGGATGAGCTTGGGCACGGCCCTAGTACTCTTTGTCTTGTTCTTGTCTAAACTTTTAATTAGTTAATCAACTTATTGATTATCGATATTTAAAAAGATAACTTAAATAAATCTATAAAAAAATTATGTAAAATTGGAAAGTGTGCTCATAAATCTAGTTGGTGGTTCCATTAGTTCGGCGATTGACAAATGAATTTATGATTTTTGGGGTCTATCATTAGCAAAAAGTACTGTATATCATGAATTGTAGCATTAGTGGAATCATATTGTGACAATGTGAAAATTTACTACTCATTAGTGCCTCATTACTAGTAGGTAGAATCTGAAACCTATACTATTTTATACATAGATAAAATACTAAAATTTATCTAAAATATTGATAATTAATGGTGATTTAATTGGGAGCAAAAAATAATGTATATATTATTTCAATCTTCATAACAAAAAGAAAAATCATCATTAAAAATGAAATTTTATATGTTTGTCTAATAAATGGCCATGCCTAGTATATGTCACTCCTACCCACTTTCTTTTTATCGTTACGTTACGTTCCCCCATAACTCTATTACATCAACTCCAGTCTTATTTGTATCTATTATTCTCCCATCTATATATATATTACCTCTAATAAATATTTATTTATATATAAAAATCTGATTGTAGTTAAACTGTGTTCTGTCCAAAATTTGGTTTATAGTCTCCAAGTTATAAATTTACTGTCAGAGATTTTAATGAATCTGAAACTGATCTTTGAACAAAAATTAATTGGAGAGATAATATATGTGTTGTACCAAACTACCAATTTTGTCATTTAAGTTGGTCTCAGGTGTAAAACTAGTGAACAACTAATATGTTAGGTTTAAAATCTCTTAACCAATAACTTTTGTTGTTGTCAACAGTTTGAAGTATTATCAAGTGATCTTATATTAAAAAAAAAAATGAAACAAGTTAAATTATGAATTTTTTGAGACTACTTTTTTATCAGTTTTGACAAAATTAGCCTATACCTATATTTACATAGATATAATAAATATATTTTCTATTATAAAATAATTTAGTTTTTTTTCAAAGTTAGATATTTTTTTTTTATATCTTTCATCTAAAACTTACACTAAACTTTATATATAACCCTAAACCCTAAACTAAACGTTATAATCCCCTAAAACCCTAGCTAAGCCTTACAACTAAACCCTAACCTCAAAACCATAACACCTAAAACTCTAAAAACCTAAATCCTAAAAGTCTAAAACCCAAACTAGACTTTTCATATAACAAGTCACTGTATTTTGTATTTCTTTGATAAAGAAACATATAATATAAAATTACATTATGGAGTGGCACATTGTTATAATAACTACATACCGAAGACGGTTCAAATTATATAATTATTATATGTATAATTTCTTCTTGGTGACATATATCAATACGTATTCGTTACTCTGAATTGACACATATAATAATACATACAAAGAGAGATTGATACGTACGTAGATTCGCCTTGTACATATAACAATGACTACTAGAAGACATTTAAAAATACATAGAGATACGCATGAATGTGTCCACAGACAGACACATATATAATAGTCTATCTTTTTTTAAAAAAAATCATGTGGTCCATTACCTATTTATCATCATCCCACATCTAGAAAAAAAAACACAATTATTATATATATCAACTTATTGTCCGTACAGTGTTATAACATTATCGTATATTTTTTTAATTAGTTTAACGATTGTATGACTTTGATTTTTCTTTTGTTTTATAGTAGTTTTATTGAAAAATAAATTTTTAAAAACAAAAGCGACGAGACAACAAACTTTTTTTTTCCAGCAAAGCCATTATCAACAGAACAAAAGCTATTTTTTTTATCGGATTCACTAAAATAGTAAAAATCGACACAGTGAAGTTTTTATGTTGATTTTTTTCTTTTTTCCCATCATGGATCTCACACGTTCGGCATGGGACGTGTGGAGAACTATACATTTACTCATGAGGATTCATGATTAATATAAGAAAACAATATATATAAGAATAAACCCCTTAAAGTATTGCCTTTCAAATTGTGTTAACTTAAATTTTAGAAGTGTGCAATCCAAAATTTAGATAGAAATTTATAAGAAAGAAAATAATCAAAAGATTTATCGTTTTAAAGGTTAGTTATATATACAACATAATTCATTGTAAGAAAAAAAAATTAATTATTTACATGTTAAGTGATTTTTAAGATTTTATGTTTTGTAAAAGAAATTAGAGTATAACTTTCCTAACATTCAAGATATTATGAAATATTATGAACAAAGAACGTACTACCAACAACTTTTTATATTTAAAGTAAAATATTTATATTTGTAGTGTAATAGACATTGTTGTCGAAAGAGATTTTGGTTTGAATAAAAAAAGTTAAAATCATACCAATGTCGTTGTGAGGCAACAAGTGAAGTAGACGACTTACATGTGTTATACATGTAGCCACTTACGTTAACTTAATTTATCCACAGAACATGGTGTATAAGTTCCTTATATGAAAATCTATATTTCCCTTTTACCTATTTATATATATAAACCAAAATTTTCATACATAATATATATATATATATATATATGTATATATTCAGATTCTATATTAACTTTGTATCATCCAATATCCTCAAGTTCCTGTTAAAACTATAGATGAGATTTGTAATTGCTAGTTTCTTATTTCATTACTTCGAAATCATCTTATTCGTTGAGTTTTTTTACGAATTTTTTTCTTTCTTTCAATACTCAGCAACTTCGATAAAAAAAAAAGAAATCACAAACATTTTGTTCATTTACGATATTGCAATATCCAATAATGTTCCATTTTTGTATTTTAAATTCTTAATGCTACATTATTTCATAAATTGTTCTTGTATTTTTCTTTCCTAAAATTGATATTTTTATCATACATGATTCAAATTAATTACTATGTTATTAATTTATAAATTTGCTATGTTATTGATTTATCAAATAATTAACTCACACCACTTTCATCATTGGAGACATGGATTAATTTAACCAACAACAAGTTATTGGGAGAATGACTTTTAAAGATTTTTAGAGTTTAAGATTCTAATGTTATTGGTGTACGGATTATTAGATTCTTAATAAAATCTCTTGTTATTGGTGTATGTATTTTGTAATTCTATTTAAAATCCTTTGTTATTCAAAAAGTTGAGTATTTATTGATTTTCCAATTCTATCAAATTCTAGTGTTATTGGTTTAATGATTCTTTACATATTTAGTCATTAAAAACAACTTTCAAAATACTGCAATTATCATAAGGATTTGTAGAGTCTATCATATGAAGAATCTATTAAACTCTAAAAATCTGGGTAAACATTATTTTAGAATCAACAAATCTTTTTGAGAATCTTAAAATCTCTAAACTTTTAAAATCCACAAACTCTTTTAAAATCAATCTCCCACTAACCCCCCCATAGTTAATTTATAACAAAAAAAAAATAATTTTGAGGAACAATTAATTGATAACAAAATTTAAGTTACCAAATTTTTTTTTTGTTAAAGGGTTTTTATATTACCAAATTTCCAATCTTGTAAAGACAAATTCCAAAGTATCTTTAAACACACAATTTCTATTATGAACATGATAAGAGCTCACAAAGTATTTATATAGTGAATAATCATTCGCACACTCTCGATTATACAATATGAACAACAAAGAATGCAATTGGAACTAGAGACAACGACATTTTATGTACAATACACACTTATTGTATTTTGCAATATCGTAAATGAACAAAAAAAAAAAGAGATTTGTCTAGTCATCAAATAAATTATATAAATTTAAAATTAAATATAAACAACAATATGTCAAAATATATACAGAATCTTCTCGGTAATTCATGCATGATGCAGCAACCAAGCCAAGCGTGGAGAGGAATTAACACATACCATATGCGACGTGCATGCTTCTCGATTATTATATTCTTTTTTATTTTCCTACGACTAAAACTGAAATAAACTGTTTGACCAAAATGCCCCTTCAGATTTCTTAATTATGACATGTAATGACCAATCATATGCTTTTTTAAATGTTTTAATTTAATTCTAATAAACCATTCCTTAGTCAAAAGAAAACTGAACAAGAAATATTTAAATTAGTCAAAACCAAAACCAAAACCACAAGAAATTTTTTTTAATTTAGCTTAGATTTTATTTCCTTTTTGTTATGATATATACTAAAATATAAATAGCATTTATGCAAATATATACCCAGAAAAAAATAGCTAAACACTTTCTTTCTTTAAAACATTATTAACAAACAAATAAGCCAACTCTAATATATTTTACAAAATTAGGAATATCTAAAATTATATTATACCTTATACTCACTAGTCAAAGACACATGTGCTGGTGTTTGTTAAGATATTATTTGAAAGATTCATTATTTAAATAAAAAAAGGAAATATAAATATCACTAATTTCTAAAATGTAAATTTGGAAAAAGACTCTTTTTAGAAATACTCTTTTTTCAATTTTTGACTTTTTCTCTTTCTTCCTTAAATAAATAGCCTCTCCTCTAATACATTTCTTTCACCAGTCTTCTTCTTCTTCCTCTGAATCATCTCTCTCTCTCTCTCTCTCGCTATACACAAACCTTAAGAAAACGTTATCAATGGCTGTTGAAGCTAGACATATGAATCTCTTCGCTTCTCAATATATCACCAACAGGTATATTTTCATTCTCTACACGATTCTTCTTCTGTGTATATTTTGATTTTTGCAGTTTTATTGATTTTTTTTTTGTTGCTTTTTCAGAGAATGTGTGAAACCACAAATGAACAACGGACAACAAATCGAAATCGGCGGCGGTGGTTTTCCGGTAACAATCGGTGATCGGAACTTACAATACATAGATCCGATGAACAGCTTCAACAAATCAGAAAGCGAGCTAACTCACAACAACTTCAACCAATCACCAGCGATTTCAAAACGCCAAAGAGACACAACGTTCGATTTCTCAACCGCGTCTCAGAAACGCAGATCAATCGCGTTTCCATGTCCGTCGTCGTCTCCGTTAATCGACGCAGAGCTCGTCTCTCAGATCCAACAGCAAAACACAGAGATCGACAACTTCGTCGCGCATCAAACCGAAACGCTGAGAATCGAGTTAGAAGCGAGACAGAGAACGCAAACGCGGATGTTAGCGTCCGCGGTACAAAACGCGATTTCGAAAACCTTGAAAGCGAAAGACGAAGAGATCATAAGAGTAGGGAAACTAAACTGGGTTTTACAAGAACGCGTCAAGAGTCTCTACGTAGAGAATCAGATCTGGCGTGATTTAGCTCAAACCAACGAAGCTACTGCTAACAATCTCAGATCAAACCTCGAACAAGTTTTAGCTCAAGTCGATGATTTGGATTCGTTTCGTCGTCCTGTTGAAGACGTCGACGCTACTGCTGAATCGAGCTGTGGAAGCTGCTGTGACGGAGAGAATGTAACGGTAACGGAAAAGGTTAACGGAGGTTGTAGACGGTGCGGTGAGTTAACGGCGAGTGTGTTGGTGTTGCCTTGTCGTCATTTGTGTCTGTGTACGGTTTGTGGATCGTCGGCGTTGTTACAGACTTGTCCTGTATGTGATATGGTCATGAATGCTAGTGTACATGTTAACATGTCATCATGACCATTCTTTTATTTTAGTTTTTTATTTTAATTTAAGGATTAAAGAGTAAAAAAATAGGAGGAAAAAAAAAAGTTATTTTTTTTGTACTTTTATCTAAAATATGGAATTTGATTCATTTGTTTACTTTTGTACAATTTTTTATTTTTGTTAATTACAAGTTTTTTGTGTATATGGAAGATATGAATTAATTTTATGAAATCGTAACAGTGAAAAAGTAAACCTAAAAGTGTGATTATAGTCAAATATTACGTTCTTGTAATATTTATATATCTGGGGAGCTGTATAACGAATTGATAATGCGACATAATTATGTAATTAAGATAGTTGTATGTCCAATTACTGCATTAGTTATAACTGCATTTTTTTGTGAATGATGTGATTATTATAATCGGAACGCACTAAAACTAAATTAACCTTTGGATTCAATGTTTAGTTAGTGTGTTGTTGCAACATTAACATCGTAACATTAAGCAAGAAAAAATAATAATTCACAATTTTGTTTCCCTAGTTTTTTGGTTTAAAACTTAATCCTATATTAGTACATACTTAGTGCTTAATTACTCTTTTGTTTCTAGATAGAATTTGAAAATGAAATCGTGCATATCCGTTTAGTGAATCTGTTGACATTATTATCGTCATTGATCGTCACTAATTAATATATTTATTTTTTTTGTTATTTTTGAAGGAAAACTTCAAAAGTGGAAGCCAAAAATGGAAGTTACAAAAGACGACATAATAATTGAATGTGGGAAAATATTTTATCGTTTATAGAATATCTCCAAAACATGTGAGGTGGGTTCCTTGGCCTTTTACTTCCCCCTCAAGCCAAAGCAATTTACATATAACAACTAATAGAAAAAAACAAATTTGGAAAGTATTATTTAAAGGCATTGATTATTACTTTCACTTATTTGATTTTTTTTTTTTTTGTGTGTGTGTGAAAGTTATTCATTTCAGTTGGACAATTTAGAATCTTACTACATTGTACAATGTTAAAAGTTTCAGCATTTTGTGAACTATATTTAAACTATCTTTTTAAGTTTGGTACCATTACTTAGTCGGATTTGGTTTCATATTGTACAAAGTTGTTAAAAGCTTAATTATAATCTTATTGGCTAAAACACGGATTCAGTTTCGGGTTACGCGTTGTTATATATATATATATGTATATACATTTGTGTTTGCATAACTATAAATTAATATTATTAAGAAAAACTAAAAACTATAAAAAAATATTATTAAGAATGTTATGTTTTAAAAACCTAGATTATCAACCATCCTTTAGTTTTCTGTTTTTTTTTTTTGCTAAAAATGTAAATATTTTATTAAAAAAAGTAATAAAAACATGGAAGCATAGATTATTACGAAAACATATTTAGTGTTCTGTTTGATACTCAAAGTGTCACTGGAAATTAGTTATAACTTTTACTCAAAGTGTCATCAACCAATACCTATATGAAGAAACACAAAATTCATACAATAATTTTCTTATTGTCCTTTATATTGTTCTTTCAAAAATTCGAATTCCTGTGCTACTTTCTAAAAAAACTGTTGCCCCCACTACTTTAGGTTTATGTAAATTATGTCACAATCACTAATAATGAAATTGTCTACTGACATTTAATATAATAAAAATATTGTATTCTATAAGTTTTATTTTTTCTCTTTTTTATCAGAAGAATCAAATTTCGCTATCCCCAACTATAAAAAAAAGGTAGAAAGCATCAATAGTCTGAATATTTTTGATACCTTCAACGACAATTTTATGTAGGTGATGAATATGGAAAGGATAGATGAGTCTTTCATAATAACCTAGTCTCACTTGTATTCTCAGTATATATGTTGTAATAGCCTCATTTGTGCAAAGCTTCTATGCCGACAATTTACTGGAGTTATGCTTTTTCAGCAGCCGTCTACCTCATCAACCGGATGGTTACGCCTGTTATTGATCATACTTCCCCATATCGGCGCTTATTTGGAGCAGACCCAAATTATCATAAACTCAAGGTTTTCGGTTGTTTGTGCTTTCCCTGGTTGAGACCGTACACCGCTAACAAGCTTGATGCACGCTCCGCACCGTGTGTCTTCTTAGGTTACTCTCTCACGCAGAGCGCCTACTTCTGTTTGGAACCACGATCCGGTCGGGTTTATACCTCCCGACACGTCCAATTTGTGGAGACGATGTTTCCATTTGCTGCCCAAGAAGCTTCGCTGCCACCAGAACAGAGTTCACCGTCGCCTCTACCGTTGGTCGCCTCTGTTCCGTCACCACCAGCTCCACT